ACTCAGTTTTATTTCCACTCGAGTATACACTCAAAGGTCACTAGGTTTAGACCTAGACTCAAATGATTTCACAACTCAAGGGTATCCCTTAGTCTCTTCATAGTTCTACAATTTCAAATAAAGTCAAAGTAAGCTTTCTTGTATTGGTTCAAAATGGAGTTTATGTCACTAACAAAGGACAAAACACACTAACGAACTAGGAAACAAATAAACACACGACACAACTAAAAGAGAAAAGTATGAAACAAATTGCAATGAAATAAAATAAAAACACAAAACTAGATAACTATAGTATGAAATAATTTTAATTTGTAATGTAATTATAAAATTCAAGAGAAGAATGAGAGAAACAAGAACTAAAGGACTAAATTTTAAAACTAGACAACAAAGTAGTCACAACACAAAAGTGGTTATTTTTTAAATTTCAGGAATTTAAGCATTGGTCTTCAAGTTGAAAGTCACCGGAAAAGTCCACAAAATCTTCTCAATTTTTTTGTGATAAGAAAAAGAATTTCATACACCCACTTCATTATTATCACAAATATGGCTATTTCTAAAATCTGCATCTTCTTCCTCGAAATAGGTCTGAATTTTCACTCAAAACTAGTTCAAACCTATACCAGATGAACCCAAATTACAGATTTTAAATCCCTTACACATTCTAGATATTTTGAAGTAATTAAAGAAGAAAGAAGAAAGAAAATATATATTAAAGATAAAGAACAAAGAAAATAATGCCTTATTTGAAGTAATTAAAGAACAACTTCCTAATTTGAACAAGTAATTAAAAGATTTAATTCAACTCATACATAAATAATATTACCAAAATATATTTAAGAAAGATCTAATAGAGAGACAAAGATACAACCCATAACCCTCTCCAAGAGTATTCACCGAAAAATGTTGTCTACCCCAATAATATTAATCATATTCTATTTATACTACTAGGGTTAACTAAATTGAGAAAAGACATAAATACCCTTAAATACATGCGCGTCATACTATGATTAATTTTGTAAAAACATATAATGTTAATCTTTTTATATATTGGTTCTTTGATTTTCATACTCTCTTTAAACACTCTATATATTCTCTTGATGTCAAATAGAAATCCTTCCATGCAATGAATACTTCCCGAACTTGAAATACCTCACCCCAATATGTTTTCGATTTACCTTTACCTCTCCAAATATCTAATATAACCAACCTCTCGCACCTCTGAACTGAGGCATTTGTGCATCTCTTTTTCACATGTCCAAATTATTTGCACATTATTTCCCTCTTCTTGTCTACCATAGCGGTCACTCTTGCCATATCCCAAATATCCTCATTCCTAATTTTATCATTCTTTGTATATCCACAAATCCATCTCAACATCCTCATTAGTGCAACGTGCATCTTCTGAACATTGGAGTTCTTGACTTGCTAACACTCCACCACATACAACAAAGACAGTTTAACCACGACTCTATAAAGATCACTTTTAAATTTCATTGGTACCTGTTTATAATAGAAGACTCTGGATTCAAGTCTCCACTTCATGCCTCAATCAGCAACTAAGATTAGAAGAAATTCCACTATTGTTTTTTCATTATCTCCACTTTTATTCCTCTCAAGACATGATCTTTTTTCAACTATTTTATTTCTTAAAGATCCTTCCTTTGCTTTAGAGCTACTATTTTATGTCAAGAAAGTACCCTTTTAATTTAGAATGGCATAGGAAAACTTTGATTCATAAATAATATCTAGGATTACAATACCTTTGGCAAAGATTGTAGCCATATATTGTAGCCTACATCCGTCCCTAGTTCAATATATTTTTCATACCTATATAAATGATAATGGTGAATGAGGTGTTTATAAATTCATTGGTGAGAGTTCTTATAGTGTTCTTAATTTGATTAAGAGTGAGGCATAGTTGTATATAAAGAGTTGAAACCGTAAATAAGGATATGTGAAGTTCTAACATTGGAGCACTCATCTTCGCATACTTAGAGCTTACGTCTCTCTTTTTTTAAAACTAAAGGTTCAGTAAATTCTTTACAACTCTTGAGCATATATCTTTTTTCATGTATTTCTTTCAATTTCTTAACCTATTTTTTTCATGTTGAAGTTAAGCTGAGAGTGCAAGATTGGGGGGAGGGTGTGAATCAATCCATTTTACTTTTCTTAGTTCACTAAATATTTTAGTAGTCGACTAGATGGTAATTAAAAATTAAAAAAATAAGTAAAGTGTAGTGAGAAAATTCAACACATAATGTCTTTATACTGGTTGGGATCCAGGATTGATCTTACTCCAGTCCCCTTGGGTTGCAAAGTTGTTCTCTTCTAGCTGTGTGATATTGAAGTGGTTACAAGTATAGATCCTAAATCTACACTCAACTCTTACTTTTTATTTCTTTTCAATATTTTGATACAAGGCCTCACCAAACTAATTTTCTCTCTTCTCTTTTTTTTATTACATAATAACTCATTCAGAAAAAAACAATGTTTTCTAAAGGTAGATTAGAATTGTAAGAAGGTTCACTCATCAAGTATATTGGTCTTCAATAACTTCTTTCTTTTTATAGAGACGATAAAGGCTTCTTTCATTATTTTAAAGTCGTTCCATAGAGTTTATCTCTATGAAGATCCTTCTCTTAAATCTTGTCCGATGATTTTTAAGATATGGCCCCTCAAAGAGCTTACGTGAGAAGGAATGCAGGTGAGACATGGAGTCTGAGGTTCCTCAAGTTCCGGTTGACCCTTTGGTTGAGCAAGTGGCTCATGCCGAATTCCAAGCCACTTTTCAAGTGTTAGCTCAAGCTATGATGGGCCAACAAAATATAAAAGCCTTTGCTCCGGTGAAACGAAATGTGGATATGGTGGCGACAAGGATAAGAGACCTTACAATGATGAATACTCTGGAGTTCTATGGTTCCAAGGTCAATGAGGATCCTCAAGAGTTTATTCATGAGGTGTATAAGATAGTGGGAATTATGGGAGTCTATACAGTAGAGAAGACGGAGTTTGCCGCCACTACAACAAATTTGATTATTTGAGACGAAATATTTTGTCACTTTAAGTTCATATTTAGTCACAAAAGGAATTTTGTGACAAAAAAAATTTCGTCAAGCATTCGTCCCTAAAGCATGGGTCACTAAATGTATATTGAGACGAATTAGTGTTTTGTCACAAATTAGAGATGAATTGACTACGAAACTATTTTTCGCCCCCAAATGAATAGTATTCATGACAAACTTGATTGTCATAGAATTATATTTTTTTTTTAGGTAATAGCATTTTTTCGTCACTAAAGAAGTTATAATGGTGACATGAATGATGGCGTCACTAACTATTTATTTGAATTAGTGATGATTTGTTTTGTCTCCAATCATCTATCTATTTTGTCATTGAACAAATATTATTTCGTCACTAAAAACTACCTTTCACATACGCATTATCGTTTTGTCACTAAAGTAAATTAGTGACAACGGTACTTTCTTGCCATTTTGTAGCTTAAAATTATCACATCATCACTAAAAAACTACTTTTACCAACGAATAAATTTCTAACTAGAAAATGTCATAGTTAGCGACGATCACAATTGTCATAAAATACAAAGTTAATTTGTAGGTAATAAGTAGTCCATTTTGGGACAAATTTTATTCTTTGTTACCAAATGTCATACTTTTATGAAGAAAATGTGATCGTCTTAAAAAGTATAAGAAAATCATCGCTAAAAGTTAATCTTTTATAGACAAAATGTTTTGTCACTAATAACAAATATTTGATGACATTTTAATTTGTAGCTATAGTATTTACGATTTGATTTAGTTATTTAGGTTTCTGTTAATTTTAAAATTATCAAATCATATATAAATTATATATACGTAACTTCAATGGAAAGAGCATATATACAAACTAAAACTAGCTAATAACATACTAAAAGAAGTAAGATAACAAAAATCTTTTAAAAACACCGTCATATATTAATTAGGAAAGACCAAAATAACATTCATGTGATGATATCTCATTACATACGCCTTAAAGAAAAATTAACATCAACAAAATTTGGTCCAACTTGAAAAATGTAACTTAGATATACTAAACATTAAAAAGAAACGAAGTAATAAAATTGAGGTTGCTTCTCAAAATATCATTGCAAAAGCACTTCTTTAATAGTTGGTCCTGATTTCCATCTTACACAACCTGTGTAAACAAAAATTTAAGATTTTATTTCATATATAGGGTACTTTAAGCATCAAAGAAACATATACAATTAGATCACTCATACAACCTGTGTTGAATTTTAAATATGTAATTGAGGGAATATGATCACTCATACACTTTCCGCGCAAATTAGATTCAAGAGTACATACATAATGTTTTTTCTTGGAAGGGGAAAGCTAACAGAACACAATTGAAACACAATTATTCTAGAACAAGAAAGCTAACAGTACTCATGAATTAAACTAACAGTAAACAACAAATCACATGTTCAGGAAGAGGAAAGCTAATATGAAAACAAAGCAAACAAACACAATTGAAGAGGAAAGCTAACAGAACACAATTCAACTAACAGATGATTCCACAATTATTCTTGAACAAGAAAGCTAACAGTATATGAATTGAACTAACAGTAAACAACAAATTACATGTTTAAGAAGAGGAAAATTAATATGAAACAGAGCACACAAACACAATTGAAATCTCTCATGCGAACATAGGTTTGGTTCGACAATTCGTTTTTTGGTGATTTACGTCCAACCTCTACTCTAACAGGCTAAATAAATAGCAGAAGATCTAAATTAAATTAACGAGAACAAAGCGATGTAGTTATTATTGTACCTGAAGGGATAACTTGATAAGGTTCATTGATCACTGTATCATGAAAATGAAACATAGTTATATATTAGGTGTTAAATGCTACAAACTATTTCTATTTAATTAAACAAGCTGTAATGAAATTATTATTGTTTAAAGTATACTATGGCTAACCTTGATCTGGATGAGCTCATAAACTGCTGAACTGTTTCAAAATATCATCTTGACGTGCCAATAGAGTTTTCAAGATTACAATTAGGAGCAGTATGGTTCAAGTTTAACATAAATGAAAGCTTTGATCTTTTAAACTTTCACTTCAATAAAATATCAAAATTGTGGCAATTTACCATAACCAGAAACACAACATCTGACAAAATTCAGTTAAGGTAAGGAAATAAATTAATATAGGTCAATATATAATAATATAGTAGAGAATCAGGCGAAGCAAATAAATTCAAAGAAAGAAGTAAAATCAGTTCAAATCAAGTAGCAACATAAATGGACAATTTGTGGTTCAAATAAATTAAGGCAAAAGTAACCACAAAGAATGATCAATTAAATTAAGCAAAGCAATCCATTGACATATCAAATCTTACTCAAATACACTCAAAACTCAGTAGCTCTATTTGTGATTGAATCAAAGTGGTGCTATTGCAAAATGCTAGAGCGAATGAACAAATTTAGGCTAGCATAAATCACAACAGTTCATGCTTAAGACGAGATTCACAAATTACATGACTTTAACAATATAAACATGCAATAAGACTTCTAATCGGAAAGCAAAAGGCCATTTGAGAAATAAGATAACTATTAAAGAAACTAACCCACGAATCTATTAAGATCCGTCTCGAAATCTCAAACCGTGTGTTGACCAGACTCTATTGGTGCTCGTCTTTGCCTTCCTCACCGTAAAATGTGAGGAACGGCGCTAGGGCTTGCTGGTCAGAGCAGCGCTCAGGTTGATGATGGTTGTTGGTCCAATTTGCCAGCGACTGTTGGCTTCTCTTGTTGAAGCAAAGGAGAGGAGAAGGGTCTCGCTGGTGGCTCGGGGCTGTTCTCGCCGGAGCAAAGGAGATGAGGAGCTCACTTGGTCCTCGCTTGCTTCCATCTTCACTGGAGAAGAGAGAAAGGAGGGGAAGAAGACGGGCTCGGGGTTTCGAGGAGAGGCGGCGAGCAGGCAGCACGGGGTTTCTCAGGAGCCTGCTGGACAAAGATGGAGGAGGTGGTGATTTTCGCCGGAAAATGAAAACGACCCAAGGGGTCTGCGGCGCGTTCTCGTGACAAAGAGGAGAATGAATTAGAGTTGGGTCTTTTAGGGTTAAAATATGAAGGCATGGATTAATGAATTTAGACCGTTGATTTGAATGTAATGAACGGGCATGATTAGATCTTGAGCTTGATCAAGGTAACAGGTGGACGACATTAAGATAGGAGGCTCTTTGTGACTTGAATCAGATTAGCAATAATCGAAAAACATTGAATTGAAGAGGCAATAATTGACACAACAATTGAATTAAAGTGATTGGAATTGAAATGAAATTGAATAGCAAATGGGCTATGAATTAAATAATTTGAATAGAAGGGACTACAATTTAAATTATTTAAGGAAAGATTACGAATTGTCACTTAATTAAATAGAATACAATATTTATTAACCAAAAATTATATAAAATAAGCACACTTAAATATTTTAAATATTTGATAAATGAGTAAAATAATTATTTTAGGTTTAACAACAGATAAATATAATAAAAGTAATAATATTAATTTGATAAAATAATAATTTAATAATTTTGTAAATTATGAATACTAAAATATCCAATTATTTGGACAAAAAAATAAATATTTTTGAACACGTTATATGAAATAGGTTTTAAAATACGTATTTAATTTGCTAATTACAATTTTTAGCTACATGTTATAGGGAGGAGAGTGGCGAGCGAGATTGGGAGAGGGAGGAGAGAGGCGAGCAAGAAAGGCAAAGAGTGGGAGACAGACCAATTGTATATGTATATTGGTTAGATAATTGTATATATGTAACTGGTATACATATGTATTCGTATATTTGGCGAGCGAGATTAGGAGAGGGAGGAGAGAGGCAAGTGGGATTGGGAGAGGGAGGAGAGAGGCGAGCGAGAGGGGGCAATAATTTGTATAATTCGTATCTCGTTTGTATAATTCGTTTGTTTTTGTATGATTGAGTAATACAAAGCCTGAAATTATACAAATATGATAAAACTTGAAATAGCGAATTGATACAAACATAAACATATGTACTTTAAACAATTATTAAAATTATAATATACAAATTACATTATATAAATTATATTATACAAAATCCAAAAACTACACATTTATACAAACTTTAAAAAGTTATACAAAAAAAAGAGTGATTGTATATGGTGATAAAACTGAAAAACCAAAGGAAATCATCGTCATATAGAAATACAAACCATTGTATACAAATACATATCAAATGAAAAATTGTTAGTTGTGAATTATACAAATGTGGCGAATTATACAAACTCGAAGTCAACCCACGTAATTAATGGTTAATGTTAGTCGTGAGTGGTAATTATAGCAATATATAGCTATGATGACTAATTAAGTAGTATGAGTTTTCTTAGCCACGCAATTTTTCCTTTAAATAAACTATAAGTTGTTTTTCAAATTTAAAACATAACTTCAAATTAAATTTTAAATTTTCATGGTCAAACACTAATTTTCAATAAAGTAAAATTTTGTTTTTGAGAAAATATAATTAGTAATTTTGGTAACCAAACAGAAAACTTAGAAGTGAAACAAAATGAGCAACCGCACAAGCATTTATTTTGTCTTTTCCACGACAAAAAAAAAAACAAGTAGGTACTACAACAAAAATTCCTTTGTTCTTTGGATTTTTGGATAATCATAGTATTGAAAAATAGTACAACAGTTCATAGGTTTTTTTCTTCCTCAATTTGGATTTTATTTTATTTTATAAAAGGAATGATAAGGTTATTCCTTAAAATATATCAATATATATTTTGCGACAAAGTTTTTTGTATAAAAAGTCTAACTAATTTTAGGACAAAAAATGGTTTGTCACTAATGTATCAATCTATATTCTACGACAAAAAAAATTTGTGTCCAAAATTTAACTAATTTTAGGACAAAAATAATTTGTCACTAATGTTTCAATATACTTTTGCGACAAAAAGAATTGTATCCAAAATTTAACTAATTTTAGGACAAATAATTTGTTAGTAATGTTTCAATATATTTTTTGTGACAAAAAAATTTCGTATAAAAAATTTAACTCATTTACGACAAAAAAAAAATTGTCACTAATGTATCAAAATACTTTTGTGACAAAAAAAATTTTGTATCCAACATTTAACTAATTTTAGGACAAAAATAGTTTGTCACTGATGTTCCAATATATTTTTTGTGACAAAAAAAATTAGTATAAAAAAATTAACTAAATTTAGGACAAAAATTAATTTGTCGCTAATTGAGAACATCATTAGTGACAAAGTAATTTGTCATTGAGAACTCTAAATTCGTAGCTAGTAGTACTCAATAAATGGCGCCAATTCATTTTTTGGTGGGAAACTTTAGTGGACAAAACTTTGCTACGAATTTTTAGTTTTCGTCACTAAAAGTATGTGCCTCATGTATTTAAGCACGAAATGTATTTTTGGTCACTAAAAGTGGAAAATTAGTGACGAATTTAATGTCGTGACTAATAATTTCGTAGCTATATATCACATTTGTTTGAAGGGTGTTGCTCAAGTTTTGTTTGAAGAATGAAAACGTGAGAGTGCTATTGATGCAGGTCCTCTTGATTGGGAGAAATTTGAGGGAGCATTTATTGATCATTTCTTTCCTCTTGAGATGAGAGATGCGAAAGTGCTTGAGTTTATTAATCTATGTCAAGGCAATATCAGTGTGCAGGAATATGCTTTGAAGTTTACTCAATTGGCTAATTATGCTCTAACTATGGTTGCCGAATCTAGGGAAAGAATGAGTAAGTTTGTGTCGGGTGTTTTTGTCTTGGTTGTCAAAGGATGTCGTACCACCATATTTATTAAAGAGATGTATATATCTCATTTGATGATACATGCAGAACTAATCGAAGAGGAAAATCTCAAGGAAAGGGCAAGAGTCAAAGAGGGAAAGAACCGATGATGGTGACTTTTCTCATTCTAGGTCTGGTGGACAAGGTCGTGAAAAATTTCAGGCAAAGACGTTCTAGTAAAGGTTCCTATAATTCACCGATCCCTAAGTTCAACAAGGATAGGGTGTCGAACTCCAAACCTCACGGAGTTGGTGGTATAATCATCTATTCATGCTTTCTCAAGGTGTAGTAAGAAACATGATGGAAAATGTTTGTCCAGTAATGATGGTTGCTGTAATTGTGGAAAGAATGGTCACTAGATGAGACATTGTCCATTGCTTGCTACTAAGGGAATGGATGGTAGGCAAGTTCAACCTAGTAGTTCTGGATTGGGTACTCCAAACCAAAATAGATTTTATGTTTTTCTAACTTGACGGGATCGCGAGGGTTCTCCGGATGTGGTGAACGATATGTTAAAAGTCTTTCATCTTGATATTTATGTTTTACTTGATCCAGGTATGTAACACCTCAGGCTTTAATAAGGTAAAAAGGGAGTTAACGGGTAAGTCCACAAGCCAAAAGCAGGTCGGGGACCTTTCACGAGACCCAAAAAGGTCCGTTTGGGGCACCAATGGTTGTTTAAGGCAAGTGGCCTTGCCGTCCAGGGCTGCCAGGATTTGGAATAACCTTGACGGGTCCCTAAATGGCCCATTAATAGTTTCACGGCCCATTTAGGACTGCCAGGAGGGGAGGGGGATCTCTTGGATGGTTCCCTATACGACACTGAAACCTTGTATGGTGCCTTCCTTTAGGTGACTTTGTCAGTTTTTAAGCTATGATAATTTTAGTCTTTCCCCTAAATGTTTGGTACCTAAACTACACCGTTTTAAACCCTATTTCAACACCTATATAAGTGAATTAAGTACTAAAACTACCCATTCTAAATCATTCACCTAATTCCTAAATTTCCCTCCAAGATCACCCCTAAAATCCTATCAAGAACTAAGGTATAAAATGCTAGGTTTCACATCAAGATTTTCAATTCACCATATATTGTGGCAATTGATGACTAAGGTATGTTAGTATTCACGTATGAAGTCCTTCCTCCATAGGGTACCTAAATTTTCCAAGTTTTACAAGTTAGATTCTCAATTCAAAGTTAAGGTTTTATTCAATCTTCATGAGTTCTTTTCAATTATGATCCAATTGGTTGTTTTCTATCTTATTATGCATGAATTGAAGTAATTGCATGATTTGATTTGAACTATATCAACACATGTATGATCCATGATTTTTAGACTATGAGCACATGATGAATTTTATCAACTAGGAAAGATGAATATAAGAAGATATGCATGTTCTTTTATGAAATGGATGTAAATGATTTGAGAATGATTTTAGAGTAAAATATAAATATTGTTGTTGTTGTGAAAGTTTTTGACACATACCAATAAGAACATGTTGTGAAAGGTTTTCTCACAAAAGGATGCACGAGGTTGAAGGGTTTTCTCACCTAAGTTGAATCAAGACTAATGAGCTATTCTAAATGAACTTTAGCTTGGATTGGTTGCTTAATTGTGTCTTTCCATGGATTATACTACAAATATGATAAATTACTATTCCGAGGGATTTATATTTAGAACCAAGAGGATATTGATATGGAAACTTTCCCGTTAGTAGAGGTCAGGTTTCTTGTAGCATCTCCTTATCCCATAACTATGTACCACCATAGGTTTGTCTTAGATAGACGTTAGCTAGTGGATCCACTTTAGTTCAGACTCATGGTTCTTACCTTGGCAAGTAAGGACATCCCTTTTCGATGTAGGACAGACACCGGATGTCATGTTATAACTCACATGGTCTATGTAACACATCCGATTCAAAAATGAGAAAATTTAAGTCCTTCAGAAAATGTGGTGCCAGAACTGACGGACGCCACCAATGGTCCATCGTCTGACTCACGGACCGTAAGTAGGCACGTGGTTGGCCAGTCCAATTTTCCTAAAATGTCAAGTTCAGTACTTTTTCAATGATTCACTAGGACGGTCCGTCATCTAATGCATGAGCTGTAGCTAGGTCTCGTAGGTGAGTCCCAGGCTTAGTTGAATTTGGAAGATAAGGATTGGGACCTA